GATGGTCTAGATAAAATATTTGGTTAAACTCCCCTGTCAAAATCAGGAGCAACAGGGAGGGTGAAGGACAACAATTGTGTCGCTTTATGAGTAAACAAAATCACCTGACAAAGTCAGGAAAATTATGTCAACAAGAGAATAATAAAAATGAGATAACCCAAACGATTTTATTATACGGTTATTACACTCAGAGACTTTGGTTTAGCGTTGTTAACTTTTATTCAGCTTCTGCAGGAACCTTCATTTTTTCCCTTAAGGATTCAAGCAAATTTTTGTAGGGTTCACCCTCCCTGCTGCTTTGTGTGTGTGTGTGTGTGTGTGTGTGTGTGTGTGTGTGTGTGTAATAAGTAATTAAAAAAACATGGCTTTTAAGATTTTGTTATAAAGCAATTTGATATACTAATACAGTTGGTATATCTAGTTAATACCCTTCCATGCCTCATTAACACGCATATATAAACAATATTGCTTCAACAGTAAGCTATCACTTCCATGATTTATAAATCAGTGGTGAATTCCCACTGGCTAATCATTAGCAACGTAAGAAGATAACGACACATATATTAGTAACATCCGTTTTCTAAATGAATTAAACATGGTGCACATTTTCATCGAAATCTCTTCTTCTCTTCTCTTTTCCCTCTCTCTCTCTCTCATAAACACACACACACACGCATGCATGCATCCATATATATATATATATATATATATATATATATATATATATATATATATATATATATATATATATATATATATATATATATATATATATATTACAAACATTAAAAGATGACATTCATTTGAAGCATTGGTATAAAGCAACTTGATATACCAATAGCATTAGTATATCAAATTGTCATTTCCCAGTTGTAAGTTTCCGAGGTTTCCTAGGAAACCTCAGACAAATGTTCCTAGGAAAAAACTTCAAAGTATTGGTTACTGACCTGCCGAGGTTACAATGACTAATTATAGACAAAAATGTTTGATAAATGTCCAAGGTTTTTATACTCAGATGTCCGAGGTTTCCTTGGACATAGTCCAAGGTGTCCTAAGACATTGTCTGAGGTGTTCTAGAACATACCCTCCGAGGTGTCATACGATATACAGTCTGAGGTGTCCTAGGACATAGTCTGAGGTTTCTTAGGACACCCCTGGCAAAAAATACATCAGATCAACAATTTATAATGAAGCAAATGATTATTACCTTAATATATTTTTAGTTTTCTTCATCATAAATCAAATTTTCATAAATATCCAGAATGCTCATCATGTTCCTTTTGTGCCAAATTTACATTTCAGTTTGAACTATTCATCCATTTCCATACATACTAACCCCGGAGAGGTATGATTGTTTATTCCTATTATAAGTGGCAAAACAGCGTGATTTAGGCATACAAAGTTTACCACAATTAGAATAGTTTGATGATATACACAATAATACCATTCATGCTATTGAAAGAGGATTCTACTTATGGGCAAAGATATGGTTTTCTTTGATAGACATGGGTATCTGGCAACAAAATCAACAATTCCCACCAGTAATTTATACGTTGTCCCTTCTTAAATTCTGGAAGTTAATCAGTTTGGAATTATATAAATTTGAAATCATCCTGGTTCAATTCCTTGTCACATTTAGCACGTTAGCACCTACTGTAAAGCTCTTTAAAGCAAAATGCTAGTCCTGGCATTCAGTTTTCATAGACTGCCCAAATACGTTCCAATCGACTTTGCATTCAAGCTATTCTGACTGCCGCACAATTTGCAAATGGTTATTCAAATCGTATCCCGCTCGAAAATTCGAATCGCCATGCTAAGCAATCATGCTCATTCTCACCAGTTTCCGTTACGCGACGATTCCGAGTAGGGTTCTGTATCTCACATCCGCGATAGGAACCAAAATGTCTCTGCTCAGAACCACTTAACATGGCTGAGACATTTACACATGATTTGTATACCATGAACCTGATGATAAAATGTATAGAAAGTAAGCAGAATACAAATACATTAAAAAGACACTATTTGATGTAATGTTAGTGACAGCATTCTTGCAGCCCACAAAAAATGAAATCAAAAATGTACATGAAATACACCCATCCGAACTGGATCAGCACCTAGCTGGTTTAATACTCAGTGTTAGGAAAAAAGATGGATCTGAGTTTGAACTGAACAGCTTAAGAAGCACCATCAGCTCCATTGATCGCCACCTTAAAATCAAGAAATATGCAAGTTCAATCATGAGAGGAAATGACACAAATTTTGCATTAACAAGGGAAGCTCTTCGTGTTAAGCAAAAAGATTTAAAATCTAAAGTTAAAGGAAATAAACCCAACTTATCACAGACAAAGAAATAAATGTCTAGTATAACAAAAAAAAAACTAATGAGGAAGCCATTATTAACACATTCTGGTTTTACAATTCTGTGCATTTTGGTCTGAGGGGAGTGACTGAACATTACAATCTGAAATGGGGGGGGATGTTACACTAAAGAAATATGTGAGTGGCATGGAGTATCTTAAATTCATTGAAAATCAAACAAAAACAAGAACAAGAGACAATGTAAATAATATGTATGAAAATAAAACAACAAAGAGAGATCCACTTGCCATCTACAAACGGTATGCAGAGCCTAGAGCAACAGACTTTTGTCAGCCTTAAGATCCTTTCTATATTGCAACCAACACTATGACAATCTCCACAACAAACCCAAAATATTTTAGGAAGCAAATTATTAGAATTACAAAACTTGGATGCATCATAAAAAAAAATGAAAGAAAAAGCAAATATTACAGAAAAAAGAAATTAACGAGCACGAGCAGCCGAAAGTACCTAATTCAGACGTTAATAGACAAAAACATCCGCCAACTGATATTATGTAAATTTCAGGCCACAGAAATGCACAGTCTATAAATAGCTATTCCAACATAACAGACAAACAACAAAAGACTTACTCCAATTACCTGAGCAATACCGGCCACCAATGTAATGATGATGTCATCTACCACCACCCCACCCCACCCCCAACAAAGAAATTTCAAACTGCACAGAAATAGACTGTAGTATATCAAGTTCCCAAACATGCAATATTTAACAGAATCAGATCATCAGCAATCAATTCTACGGAACAAACATCATCGTTCAAAATATTTTTATTATGAACCTCCCGCAAAATGTGAACGAGATCGTAATTGTATCATTGGTATTTTGAACACTGGATCACTGTACATATAACGTTTGGACGATCCGGCTTGTAGTATACTATTTGGTGTAATTTCAGTTTATTAGGTACATGTTTTCTTTTTCTCACTCGACAGAGCCCTGTATTTTGTACTTTATACACACACACACACACACACACACATATATATATATATATATATATATATATATATATATATATATATATATATATATATATATATATATATATATATATATATATATACGAACAATACTATCCTACAGGTTAGAGAAATTAAATTCGTACTCTACGGAGTTTCGAACGCAGGTTAGTGAGTAAATGGCACCCATCGCCTTGCCTGCACGCACCAACCCATATACCTTCACGACTAAGTACGCATCACCAAAAAATAATGGCAATGAATCCGTGTTATATGAGCTCGTGCGTAGTAGACACACTCTGCCCACTTATCAAGATTCTACTAAAGAATTCAGGGATAGCACTGTCTCTTCTGTCTGGTACATATTTATAACTCTCTCTCCCTTTCTCTATATATATATATATATATATATATATATATATATATATATATATATATATATATATATATATATATATATATATATATATATATATATAAACCGACAACGAACTGTAAAACTAATTTCTAAATATACCTTCCCGTTTGTTTGTAACCGGGTTTCAATAACGGTAATATTTAAGGTGATAAAATGTGCACAGAACTTAGGGCTGATTACACTTTTATCCTCGTGTGCCTTTCATGTTCGACTAATTTTCCATACTAACACGGCGACATATTTTATACGCTATGGGCGAGTCTGTTTTCCTCGTACAACAGAGTTAAACAGTTCATTTTATTCTGTAACTTCTGGAAAATTCCGTAAATACGATAATATTGCGAGTTTTAAGCTAGATCTCTTTGCACGCATGAACATATAAGCTTTACTGCTTATTAAATCCACGTGAAAGGAAAATTTGTGGTTGTCACATTTTTTTTTTATACCTTTGCTTGATTCGACATTGTGAATATCGGAAACAGACGACTTAGTATTTTTCTTCTATGTACATGGAATCAGATCACAATTAATAGTCCGGTACAATACCCACAAATGTAGCCCCAGTGGTTTTTTTATAGCATTTTTCCTGTTTCCTTTTGGTGGTGATTAAAGAATTAGATTTAGGTATTCTTGGTATGGATTTAAAAGTAATTGTTTATTCTTATCTTATGGTATGGTTGTCTGTATTTCGGCGACAGTATATAATGAATAAAAAATTCTTGGTGATGATCAGAAAGTGAAATCTGTCTTCCATTGCACGTTGGTTTGTTTACAATCCAGCCTCTCCAAGAAATACCGGTGAAACTATGACAAGAAATTTACCGTGAAGTCATCAGTAAAGGGATTTTAGATTAATATATGATTTGTATTGATTGTCACACACTGGAAAGTTCAGTTTGAGTAAAATTAATTGTGTTTTGGGTCCACATACATGTGTAGTGGTGGATACACCCTTTCGCTGAAAATAGACTTGTCCAGGAACCGGAGATCACTGGTAAGCAGGGTCGTGTCATTATGAGATTATGATTTTTAACGTAGCTTTATCAATTTATTAGTCATATCGCTACGATATATGCAGTTTATAGCTATGTCTAGCACTGGGCATCATGCTGTAGACATGTAGTATGATATCCCACCCAGTCACATTATCCTGATACCAGGCCGACCAGTCCTAACACTAACCTCTTAATGCTGAGTGTCAGGCGAGGCAGCTCTTAAAACCACTTTTGTAAGTCTGTGGAATGACTCGACCGGGAATCGAACCCACGTCATCACGCATCCGAGGCGAACGCTCTAACCACTATGACACTGGAGCGGTACAAGTAGGGTAGTCTTTATTTAACACTGAAGTATTACATTTAGAATGAAACGCGCAGACGATAACAGTGTTAGCCCCCCCCCTTGACATAATTATGTTTGAAATGTTAAATCAATAAATGAACTGACTGTGCATCTTTTATCTCGTTTGTGCTTTTTCATTTTTTCTTAAATTGGGGATGGGGGTGTACAAATAAACTGGGAGGTATATTCATGCTATAGTTTCTAACTAGCCTGAGGACTTTTGACTCTAAATGAGTCTTTTCAAATGCAAACACAAAACCGAGACAAGAACAGAAAACTCGTTGAGGTTGCAAAACTGTAAATTACTATTCTACAGGAATTAAAGCTTGAAATTGTGTTTATGTTTCAACTAGTTTACTTCAAATTAACGCGGATGCTGAAAAATATTTTATATTGACCTAGAAATGAAGGAGCCAGATCACCATTTGTTATTTTATGTAAAAAAAAATTTAGCACAAAGTATCCCTTATATTTCTTTGTTGTAATAGTAATTACAGGGTTTTGGGTGACTAATAAACAAATTAAGAGAATTATATAAAAGAAGACATTCCGTCTGCAAAAAGATGATTTTATTTGTGCATGACTGTCTTTGTCAAGTCTTCTTTGCTTAAACCGATTGGTTTCAATGTTCTAAGGTGGCGTATCCAGTTATGTATATCAACGCTGGGTTTGTACTATTATCCCTTGTCCGTAAGTCTGTTCATTCTTCTTTCCATCTGCACAATTATATTCAAATGTCGAAGACGTGACTACTGTTTCAAGTCTTGAATATAGTGGCTGAAAAAATAATACAAACCACAAAGTGAAAGTGTCACATTGTAAGTAAAGTGTACGCACGTGTGTCATATATTGCATGTCTTACCTGTAAAACATAACATGACGAAGAGCATGACTAATTCAATCATCGGCAAGTGCATTTCCTTGTTATAACGCACAAATGATTTGATGAGATTCTTTTGGCAGATAGTAATAGAGGTAAATGTCTTGTGAAATTATTAAATTAACAAATTTAGAATTAAATTAATTTCAATTTGGTCCCGTTTATCAATACTGACAATTATAAACAATCCAGATTAAAGACTCATAAAAGTAGAAAATAACTGAATTTAATTTATCTTAATGATAAACTTCCATATTATTGATTGACACTGATAAATCATTTATCGAAATTTCATTATCATGAGAGTGAGTTAGTTGTTTAGTTTTTAACGTGCCATTCAGCATATGATTGGCAACATCATTCTCAGGAATGGCCGGGCAGGTATCCATCCCGTAACATTTGGATTACAGTTTTGACGCTATACCGATTTAGCTTGATTAGGAGGAATGAAAATCGCAGTCGTACACCATACGAGGAATGAAATCTTAACTGGGAAACATGAACTTTTACCACCATGAGGGTGAAATTTTCTAAAAAAAAACTTCTAAGTTATTGTATATTTAAAGTTCATTCCTAAAGTAACACAAATGAAAATAATACATAAACTGTATACTTTGATGAAAGTTTAACTGTATATCAATATTATTCATATTTGATAATATTTGTAACTTTTCAAACACATACACAAACAATATAGAGAAAGCTAACCTGAAGCTTTCGTCCTCACGCTAAGAACTGCATGAGCAGACTGATTTAATCTTTACTGACTTAACATTACTCGAAGAAATAGGGAGCGATGTTAACAGATTGTGCCAGATAAGCGGCAGGTTTTAAAGTCCCCAGTCCTGTTCAGCGTTGATTTGTACGCATGGATGTAGATCGATTCTTTAACTCCACCCCCACCCCCGCTCAAGCCAGGCTTGTTCTCGATCAAAGATTTTTACTGAGTTCCAAGTTACAATATGGCCAACACCGTGGAGGTGCCGTGATACTTAAAACAAATTTGAACTTGGTCTTCTATGTTCATTAAACCTAGCTTTCAATGTCCATCCTGTTTTCCCAATATGTTCACGATGGTACTGACTTTCACCGTGTCCATCACACTTAATGTGTTAGATAGGTCCACAACTATATTTCTTATCAAACTTATTGTAAGGGTGAAGCATCTGTCTTACATCAGTCTACTGATAAACGCTACCATCGCTAAATCATGTGTATTAGTCTATCGAAAGAATCCATACCTGAGAACAAACTAGCTATCATACCCTTTCCTGTTTATATTTAATTTGAATTTTATTGTCCTTTGTTTCTCAATATCGTCGATATTGTTACACTTGTCAAATGGTAGGAAAACCAAATCAGAAGATGCCTAGGGATCATCTGCAACATATTTCTGCATTTGGCGAACCATTGAGCAGAAAAATGGTCCCTCACCTAAGACCAAGTCAGGCAACCAATACTTGTTCACCATAATGTGAGCGATCACAAGATTTACAGAGGCCATTTTTTAAAAAGTAATATGAAAATTAATACCAAAAAATTCTGCTTTTTTTTCTCCAAACAATTTTAACATTCCCAAATCTTTCCAATCTGATCAAGCGTCAGATATTATTCATGAAATGTTCCAGAAAGTTATACATGTGCTATGCATTCAACAGTTTAAGTCTTCTGCCTATCACCCTGAAAAATTGGAAATATTTCACAAAGCTTTTAAGAATATGATTCGGTCACATTACTTTGATACAGGAAAAAATGGAACAAGTGTTTTCATGTACTGTTGTTTACTTTTATGGAATCAGTTCAAGAATCATTAGGTTTTCTCTGATTTCATATATTCGTTGTTAAAGGCCTGCTGCAGTAGCATGAACTAATCTTCACTTCACTACCTGCCAAAAGCCAAAAGTGAATTAAGTTATGACCGCAGTACCAAAGATAGGAGTTTTCAGTCAGGTGATAGCGTCCTGGCTTTCTTGACCATAGCTCAAAATCTTCTTCAGTCTAAGTATTATGGTCATTGTACAGTTAAAAAGATTAGTAACTTAAATTACATCATTAATAGTACTGCAAGGCAGAAAGGCAAACAACATTACCATATAAATAGAAGTGTGTTGATAGAGATAGTTCTATTAATAATTCATTCAGTTTAGTTGTACCTGCCCCACACCGTGTGGATTTAAACGATGGCATGCAATTAGACTGTAATGACTTTGGTGTGACCAATCTTCGAAATTCAGAAATATTGAATAATCTGGACCCAACACTTTCGCATCTACGACCACAAGAAAAGCGTGAACAAAAACATATTATGTAATGTGAGTATATGCATTTGTTTCCTGATGTTCCAGCACGAACAAACAAAATTAACCAAGACGTTTGAAATTGTTGACTCTATTCCTGTGACACAACATCCTTACAGAAATGTTTGGAAAAAATGAATTTCAGTATTTCCTGGAGAATGATTTAATAGAACAAAGTAAACGTGACTGAAGTTCACCATGTATTTTTATACCGATACCAGGTAATACTTTTCACCGACTATAGTAAAGTGAACAGTGTGACAAAAACAGACTAATTTCTTTTTAAGACTAAGAATCGATGACTGCACTGACAAAATTAGAAATGCAAACTATGTCACCAGATTTGACTTTTTGAAAAGATTCTAGCAAATTACACTCACGGAAATAGCAAGGGAATTTTCGGCACTTGTGACTCTTGATGGACTTTATAAATATAAAATCATGTCATTTGGTATGAAACGTTCTCCTTCAACGTTTCAGTGTTTAACGTGATTTGTTTGCTTAGATGGCCTAGTGGTTAGAGCGTTCACCTCAGATGCAGGAGGCGCGGGTTCGAACACCGGCCTAGTCATAACAAAGAATTCTAAAAATTGTACTAGCAGCTGCTTCGTTTGGCGCTCAGCATTAAGAGGTTGGTGTTAGGACTGGTCGGCCTGGTGTCAGGATAATGTGATTAGGTGGGACATCATGCTACATGTCTGCGGCATGATGCCCCAGTGATAGTTATCACTATAAGCTGTTAGATTGCAGACAATGTAGCAATATAACTGGAAAAAATGTTAAAGCTACGTCAAAAATCCAAAACACAAACACACACACAGCCACACACACACACACACACACACATACACACACAATTAAGATGATAGTCTAGTCTAGATATGTGTGAGGCTTACATCGATAACGTCATCATCTACAAAGACACCTGGAGACATCACATGCGAACGATTCTGCAATCCGTTGAGGGACTCAGTGATGCAAATTTGAAATTGTAGGTAAAAGTGTGTTTTGTTGTGTTTGTTTTACATTTTTGGAACATATTGTGGGACACGGTCAAATCCAACATATACAAATTAAGGTCAGGGCTGTCTCTAAATTCCAGGTACATATCAGTTAAAAGCAACTGATGCGATTTTTTGATATGGCTGGATAATATCGGAAATATTGCTGAACCTTATAATTTGTTTAGTAGGAAAGCCAAGTTTCATTGGTCTGAAAATAGGCAGGAGGATTTGATAAATTATAAGCCATACTTAAGAATGAATGCATCAGTTCAATTAACACTAAATTTCAAAAAAATCATTTAAAATGACAGTTGATACAAGCGATCTTTGTTTTGATGGAGTATTGATTCAGAAATTTAGTTGCGATCATATAATGTGCAGTTTTTCAAAAGAAGAGTTAAATAAGCACCAGGGAAATTATAATACAATTCAGAAGGAATGTTGAGATTTGATATTGGCATTGCAACATTTTTTAAGTGCATATTAGTTACTCTCCTTTTCCTATTATGGTATTCAATATATAGTCTACTTAATTTTATTGTCAAGATGAAAAACAAGAATCAGAATTTGTAATGGTTGAGTTTTATGTTTTAGGATTTTCAACATTAACGTTAGGCACATCAACGAAAAGATCATCTAATTGCAGATGTACTTTCATGCGTATACTATGCTATATTATACTGCATTAGGAATATTTAGTCTTATCCATAAGGCATCTATTTAATAGTAATTATTATATTATTGTCATGTATTTTCTGTAAATCCTGGTACATGAGTTTGCCTAAAGTTTATACTTTTATTCATGACTGGAAATTCTATAGTTGGATTTAGTGTAATATTTGCACATCAACCCCTTTTCCAGGATTGGTGCATTCATGTTTAGTAATTAAATCGGAACATCACTGGAATTCATTCAATATACTCTATATTTTTCGATTTGTGATAGATCTGTATGACTAGAAGGCATTAATTCATAATACTACAAATTCTTTCTCAAGTTTTACTTTGTATGCTAGGAAAACAATTATTTATTGAATTTTGCAATACTTGTTGTTTTCCCTCTTTTTTGTTACATAGTTTCAGACCACATATGTTTAATATCTCTCAATACTATCTCTGTCAGCCGTCGATAACCCGCGAATCATTTTGTTTCTGGTTGCATTACTTATGTGACTGTGAAGACAAATGGATGCAATATGCTGGAAATAGTGGAGAAAAAAGCATTGAAAGTCTTTGTGTCCACTGCTGGGATTTGCTAAACACCCAGGTCGTCTACAAATTCCAGGAATGTTTAAGTCACGGATGCCCTATGTGTTTCCTCAAATAAACCCGAAATGTCTTTAATCAGAGTTTACAATGAAATAGTTATTATTATTATTATTATTATTATTATTATTATTATTATTATTATTATTATTATTATTATTATTATTATTATTATTATTATTATTCCAAAGTTGTGATTTTGTCCTAAATATCAATGAGCGCTTTCTAATTCCAATGAATACATTTTAAATAAACGATTTTTCTCAAATTATATCTGAACACAACTGTAAATGATTTCAGAGGCTGAACTAAAAGGAGGAATGAAATAATTATGTTGATAACCATATACAAAACTGTTAGACGATAACATGACCATGATGTGGGTCAGAAGTGCTTTCCCAGAACATTCAAAATTTTTAACATAAACTCGAGATTGAACTTATATATCACAAACCCACCTACTTATAACTTGCAAGATGACAAAACGTAGGTACGCATTAAAACTATCCTCAGTTATTGACATTGACAAATGTCAAGCACACAACGCAAATTAAAATGTAATGATTTGGGGGGTCACATTGCTTGAGAAACATTAAATGTACATCATAGACATACATGTCTCATGTTGATGATAATCTCAGAATCATCTACAACAATTATTACTGCATCCTCCTTCTCCTCCTCTTTATTATCTAACTTAAAGTGAACGATGAAAGGTTAGATCGTCAATGTTTATAAGCATTGATGTCGCTTGACGATGTTGTTGACCGAGTGGGTCAGGCAAAATTGATTTTGTTAAATGTTCAGCCAGTGGCGACAGCGGTCACAATCGGATCCCAGACTTGCCATGTAACAAGCCAATACGCCAGTAGTATGGGAGTAGGTGTTTGCCCCTCTGGCCTCTGTGTGGCCTTTGTACCTGTCCACGACTATGACATACTTAACCCATACGTGGCATGTTTATCACTTTCAATTTTGTCGATACACACCATGTAATCCAGTGATGAAGATTAGTCCATGGACCGATGGAAGTGCCTATAGATCTCCAGCTAGAACAAAAGTCAGCCTTTCATACTACTGTATTGTGGAATGTATTAATGTATTTGGTTTTATGCCGATCGATACTTTCCGGGCAACTGACAATAGCAGATGCTGTTTCGATACTGCATACAGACAGGCGGTAATTACAGATTGTAATTATAGGATACAATATCAATAATAACTCAGTATTAATTTTCTCCGCAGCAATGTTTTCACAGTTTCTATTGTATGTACAATGATTTTGTACTTGCATAAGAGAGATATATAGTTGATCTATGAGTATTTTCGTATTGAAGAAATACTTGCAGTGATTTATATACAAATGTTGAACAGCAGGTTGGCCAGTGATCCCAAAGTATACTGAAGGAATCTATGGAGGTATCTAATAATAACATATACTTGCCAATGATTGGAATAATTTAAATGCGACGAATAAACCGTTTAAACATGTTTATTAATGAGGTATAGGAGATGTTGCATGCATTATAAAAATAAAAAAAAAACAAATTCATAAAACATTGATAAATCGGTTAACCTGGTAGTGGCATTAGAAATGGAATACAATAAACTTCAGCAGACTTTTGGGCGAAGAGAGCTATAAAAGATCTGCAAAATAATGTGCATGAAAGAGTGCAGCCGCAAAATAAAAAAAATTCGCCCATTGAGTCTGAAGCTATTGACCTTGATGATGAGACTAGTGACGAGAATTTTCAAGTGCAGGCTAATTAAGCTAATTAACTATTGCTTAAAGGGTCTTACACTTATGAATGACAAAGACACTCAGACTTATGCAAAGGCAATATAAAAGAGAAACAGTCCCTCCTCAAAAGAGAAATTCTTGTATGAAGTAATACGACGTTGCAGAGTTGCGGAAGCGTAAGCACCGATAACAATTTTTAGAAGCTGTTGCTAAAAGCAACGAACCAAAAATGTTCTGAATATTGATGTTATAGGATACAAGTGCACTGATTGGTTTGCAGTTCGAGTTGGCATAATACTCATTGAAGGGTCATTTGAGCTTATTTGGGCTGAAAATGGGAAGGATGTATTTTAAATGAATTCCAATTTCGTCTTGATGAAGTAATGAGGTATTCATACGAAAATACGTTTCTAAACTTCGATTTACTATGGTGGGATGAAGATGACATATTTTATGAAGTTTTCTATCAGTGAAGCCCTATATATTAAAGTGGAGGAGATAATGCAAAGTTGTCTGATTTGCAAAATACAAACTGTGTAGCAGAACATGCTATTATAATTACTGTAAACACATACACAGGTGTTATGTGATGGTCTAGGAGCATGATCCTGCCTTAAATGTGGCATCGGAGACAAATCACGTAATCAGCTTTGCCAGCCTTGTTGATCTGTTCGTGGATACTACTAAAAGCGCAGAAAAAGATAAAAAGTACAAACACCTGTGACTTCATAAGCACAGATACAACAAAAACACCTGTAACTTCACAAGCACAGATACAACAAAAACACATGTGACTTCACGAGCACAAATACAACAAAACACCTGTGACTGCACAAGCACAGATACAATAAAACACATGTGACTTCATAAGCACAGATACAACAAAAACACATGTGACTTCACGAGCACAGATACAACAAAACACCTGTGACTGCAGAAGCACAGAAGGATACAACAAAAGCAATCAAATAGAAATAAATAAAATAACTATGATTGAAGCATTTGGCATAGGTTTTCCTTCTTTTTCTTCTCGGCGTCCTTACTTCTCTTTTCTTTCTTTTTGAATGTGTCTAGGTTCTTACTCTTCTTGTTCGTTCAGAAACAAAAGGAGCAAAATGTAGAAAAAGGTTCTCTCTCCCCCCCTTCTGGTCCTGTTGTTTCTTAGGGCAGTCTGAAGACCAATGTCCTTTCTTTTGACAATGATAACAGGTATCTTGACTTTTGTCTCTTTTGACACCTGTCTTATTTTGACATTGTGGACATTCAGAAGACCAGTTCCCTTTCTTCTGACAGATATAGGAAGTATCTTGACTTTTATCTCGAAAGGACTTGGAGTAGTACGTTGGCTTCTCTGAAGCAAGCCTTCGTAGGACACCTCGCAAAGCTCTGATCAACTTTCTGATCTGTGTTGGCTCTTCCATCTTTCTGGTAGGGCTGAGAGTGAAATGAATACTTTGAGGGAAGACATATTTTTTATATAGGAAGACACACGACTTACATTGATATAGGAGACCATAACATTTAAAATCTAGTCATTTGACCTTTTGCACACAAGATGAAA